TCAAAGGAAAATATAAGTGAAATGAATACTTTGGAAGAGAGAGATGAATTTGTCTACCAAAGAGAAGGTATTGCCTTCCTAAGATAGTGACTGTAACAGTTTGCCTGGATAGTAGATATCATGGGGCGTGTGTAGATGAAACAGGGGCCCTAAATTGAAGCAGTGGGTTTTTAAAACACCGCTTTTAATTTAGGGCTCTCTAAACCCCTGTGTTGTGCACACATCCAAACTTAGTTGCCTCTCTGGCGGTGGGGAGGGAAGGGTGAGCTGCTGGCAGGTGGAGCAGTCCCTGGGTTGCAAGGGGGGGCTGGTGCTTCCCTCTGCGGCAGTGGCAGCCCACCTCCAGTTGGCACCTGGCTCAAATGGTCCCGGGGGGGGGGGCACCACAGCTGCAGAGGGAAGTGCTGGGCTCCTGTGCAGTTCAGGCAGGCTCCGGGGGCAGGGGGGATCTTGAGTGAAGCCTGCCTTCCTGGGCTTCTGGCAGAGCCCCGAGCTGCACAGAGCCCAGTGCTTTGCCCCGCGGTTGTAGGGCAGCAAACTAAAACTCCTTGGAGGAGGAGCAGTTTTAGTTTGCTGCACCCCAAGTCATTTAAGGCACATTACGCTGCCAACTTTGCTACAGCGGCTGGAATTACTGCACCAACACATGAAAACACCAACACTATTAAAGCAGCGCAAAAGCATTTAACCCACTTTAAAGTGTTGTGCACACATGCCCCTCATTTTGTCTACACATGGCCATGGTTTTCAGTCTCTCTTCTTCGTGCTCTGTCATAGCCACAATAATTTCCCATATGCTCAATTGGAAGATCTTTCGCTGTGGCTACTGTGCTGGAATACAGGTATCCTATAGTTACTGCGTAGTGTACTGTGCTGGGAGTCAAGATGTTAACACAACCCATTGCTGTACAATAGGAAACAATTTAACATTGTTTAGGGCTTTGAATACAGGGACCTCAGCCTACTAGGTTACGTAGAAAACAGCCACTATTAAACTTTTAACAAAAAAGATCAGGAGGAGGAGGAAAAAGATGAGAATATAATGTATGTTTTGAGGGATACCATTGAAAGCTATTATGTAAGGTTTATTTTAGTAATATCCTTGATCTCCTTTTCCCTTCAGTTGTGTGTTTTATAAGGGAAAATCCTTTGTTTTGATTTGTCTTTTGGATAATTTTAAAACTAGTATTAACTCATTCTTGTGAAAACAGAGTTGATTATTAGGGGCTGTAGCAATGGTAGATTCCATTCCTACTTCCTTGATGAAACTACAAACACAGAGGATGGTAGATGGAAACGGGAGTATCTGTTTCTGGTACTGACTCTTTTATCTTCAGCCTCAACCACAGGGTTGTTTTTTCCTTTCAGCACAGGCATTTGAAAGGATGATGAGTCCAACTGGTCCTAATCCAAATTCCAGTATCTCCTCTGAATGTTGTTCTGCTGTTCAACCTTTGCAGGAGGCTCACATATCTAGTACACCTAACTCTGTACTTAAACAGCTAAGTGTTGAGGGTAAGTTAAGAAAACTTAACTTAATTTTGATCGGTAATCTACATTTTCAGGACATTTTGAGAATAATTGCTGAAGTGGCATCAGTGATCTTGATACTGAGCTTCTCTAATATTCAGACTATTGTAGAAAACTCCTTACTGAACAGCTAGGTTTATTTTAATCATTGGATTAGCCCTTCAGAAAAATCTGTAGGTCAATAGGAAAGTTGTTCTTATAGATAAGACACTGGACTAGGATTCAGTAGGAGAATAAAAGCTATATCACTTCCCATTCTAGTCACTGGGTTAGCTTAATTGGAATGAAGTTGGATGTGTCAGTCTCTCTCCCTAAGTTCCTGATTCATAAAATACAAACAATACTTCATTGGGCTGGCCAATCTATTGAGATTATAAATTCTTCAGGACAGAGCCTGTCTTATTTTATGCAGTGTCTCTAGCATAGTGGTTCTCAACCTTGTTAGGCTCAAGGCACCCCTCAAAAAATGGCAGCTCTTAGCTATCACACTTTTGAATAAGAAAAAGAATAGAGTAATTCTTTTATTATAAAGAACTCAGAAATAACAAGCACTCTGGTTGAGAATCACTAGTCTAGCATCAGGAGACTCCTGTTTTTCAGTTGGAGTCTCTAGATACTACTGCAATACAAATTAATATTAAAGCAAAGCAAGTAGCTGGGTGATGAGCCCTTTTAGAAGTCAAATGATTGTGAATAAAACTCTCCATTCCTCTTATGTCTATCATCATGCCTGAATTTTTCTTAAAAACAAAAACTCGATTTTAAATTTCATTGATAAAATGGCTAAATGTCCTTAGTGTAGCACTGAAACCAAGTGGTAAGTTGAAAGGGGTTTTTGTTAGGTAGCCTTATTTTTTTTTCTATCTGTGATATTTGTATCCCTAGGAAATATAAAAAGTAATACAGTTTAACCTCAAATTTGGCATGCTTGGTACTTAGCACCTGCCAGAAATTTTAAAATTCCAGATTTTTGAATGAGTGAGGCTGAGGTTAGGGAAGGGGCAGGGGGATGTGTGCAGTGCAGCCCAGCAGCTGCAGGCAAGTGGTGTCGGCTGCTCCCGGGGCTGCAGCAGGGAACAAAGTGGAGAGAACTGTCAGTGGGCATGGGGTGGAGTGGCACAGCTCTTGCTGCTGTGCACACCCCGGGGAGGGCTGCGGGCTGGGGGGCTGCATCGGGTTCTTCCTGGGGGGTGCATCTGTGTGCCAGATTGCTAAAGCCAGCGGCAGCACCAGGCTCTTCCTGGTACTTGGGGCAGGTGGCAGCCTGCTGTCATCTGGCGCACAGATCCAGGAGCATGTGTCCCCTGGGAAGAGCCCTGCACAGCCCCACAGCCTTCCTGGGGTGTGTGTAGCAGCAAGAGCTGTCCCCTGCACCCACTTACAGTTCCCTTTTGCTTTGCTCCCTGCTGCAGCTCTAGGAGCAGCTGACACCACCTGCCTGCAGTGCCAGATTTTTGAGAATTCTGGAGTTTTGAGTGCTGGATTTATGAGGTTACTAGCCAATGGCTCATCAAGAATGAAGGGGGAGGGAGGGAGCTGGAATGGAGTGCTGCCACCTAATGGCCCATGCTGCTGCTCTTCTGCCTCTCGCAGGGAGCGGCGTGGGGGAACTGAGGCCAGCGCTCCTGGTCCTGGCTCCCCAACCCTCTTTCCAGTCCTCAGCGTGACTTCAGAATCATGGTTGTGCTCCCCCATGCTTGGAGCACTCTGATTTGGCTGTTTCCTTCAGCTAGTCAAAGCGTGACTAAAACGTCACGGACAGACAGACAGATAGCCAGACTTAGGTTCTTACAATATTAGAATACTGTAGTTGGATGTTACTATGCTACATTTAACATATTGTTAATATGAGAACATCTTTGTACATAGTTGTTTACAGAAGAAAGCAGAAGCTTTATGTGTATTAACTGGTTAATGCTGTATTCAAAAGTAATCAATGTTTTTGTAAAGTATGTACAGTATAGAAGGGTGCACTGCTGTACCCAAGTGTTTTTCACTCCAAAGATATTTGAGCTGCGTTTGTGGCTTAAACCATACCCAACAAGCTTTAAGATAGAAAATCAATTTTGAAAAAAAAACTTTTGCTTCTACAAAATTGCAGTGTTACCAAGTGAGCTGTTGTTTTTCACCTACTCTAGGGCCCTGTCCCAGAGAACAGAAGAGAGTTTGGTTTGCAGATGGTATTCTGCCCAATGGTGAAGTTGCAGATACAACCAAACTGTCATCTGGGGTCAAGAGATCTTCACAAGACCAGAGTCCAGTAAACTGTGACTTACCAGAGACCTATACGGTATGGACTCAAAAGTCTGCATTGATTCATGAATTTAAAAAAAGCTGATTTATCTTTAAATAGCTTTCTTAGCTGGTTTATACCTGAGCCCTCATAAAAGCAGTATTTTGTAATTTTTTATTTTTTTGCAAATGCCAAAGGATTTAGGGTGGCTATTCAGTTTTAATGGTAAGGTTGTGAGCAAGAACGTATTCTGCTACAAACCATGTAAATGAAAGTTGTGTGTACAGTCTACTGAACCTTCAGTGAAACCTAAACTTTGCAGTGAAAAATATTTATAATTCAGGTTCCTTTGTATATAGTTAACTTCTGTGAGAAGTGTCAGAAGCCAGCATTATGAAGCCTGTCTTTATTAACAAGTTGATAGCTGATGTTCCCACTAACACTAATTTTGTTTCATGATTTAGATATGGCTTTCTATTACCAAAGGCAAAATGAACCTGGTCTTACTAGAAGAAAGCCAGTGTCCTAAAAAAGCTTTTCCCTGTAACGGAAAGACATAAAGTATAGATATCAGTTAGTTAAGTCATGAGCTATTTATTGACCCAGAAGCTCAAGAAAGCATTCTCATAACTGGACCTAATTTCCACTTTTTGTATAATTCTAATACTTAGTCTCTCTCATTCTGTCCCTACGTTATGTCTCTTGCTAGCTGTAACCAGAAAACGTTCTAGAAGTAATAAGAGGAAGTCCATGGAAAGAATTGGTTCACTACCAGTATTGAGAGAAGGCTAATTAGAGAAGTTGATAAGAAGAGTGAAGTGTCTAATGACTCTTTCATACTTTACCAACAGTGTTTATTGTGACCAAGAGAATGACACAATCAGCAGGAAGCCCTTGGGAGTATGAACTCAGGCTAAAACAGAGAAAAGTAGATGGCTGTGTTCATTTAAAATCAGGCAGAAGGCAAGATAGAGGTGTACCTTAGGCTAGGTGCACCTCTACTGTCATAGGATCCCAGCAAGATAAACATCCAAATATGTCTTGAAGGCGTTCAAAGTGGCTGCTTGAACCACCTCTGGCAGCAGTCTATTCCAAACCTTGGGGGCTCGGACAGTAAAGAAATTCTTCCTTATGTCCAGCCTGATTTGGTCGCGGTGGAGTTTGCGACCATTTGATCTTGTCATCCCTTGGGGTGCTCTGATGAACAGATGTTCCCCCAGATCCTGGTGAACGCCCCTGATAAACTTATAGGTGGCCATCAGATTGCCCCTGAGCCTGCACTTTTCCAGGCTGAAGAGTCCCATGGCTCTCAACCTGTCTTCATACGGTCTGTTTTCCTGACCTGATCATGCACGTGGCTCTCCTCTGGACCCTCTCAAGCTTCTCCACATCCTTTTTGAATTGTGCCCAAAACTGGAGGCAGTATTCCAGCTGCGGCCTCACCAAGGCCAAGTACTACGGGAGAGTGACATCCTGAGACTTGCTTGAGAAGCATCTACGGATGCAAGCCAGCATTTTGCTCCCTTTACTAGCCGCAGCATCACATTGAAGGCTCATGTTCATTTTTTTTGGTCGATCATGACCCCCAAGTCCCTTTCATCTGCCGAACCTATAAGGATGCTGCAGGTTTTTCCTCCCAAGGTGGAGAACCTGACATTTTTAGGTGTTAAACGCCATCAGGTTCTCATCCACCCATTTCATGAGCCTGTCAAGATCTGCCTGGATCACGCTCCTGTCCTCAGGTGTGGATGCTTTACCCCAGAGTTTGGTGTCATCAATGAACTTGGCCAGCCCACTTCTGACACCAATGTCTGCATCACTGATGAAGATGTTAAAAAGTATAGGCCCTAAGACAGAGCCTTGAGGGACCCCACTGGTCACTGCGCACCATGACAATTGACTTTCGTAAACCACCACCCTCTGGGTCCAGCCATGGAGCCAGTTCCCTAGCCAGCGGATCATGGTGAGGTTGAGGCTGCAGTTAGCCAGTTTGCCAAGAAATGATCATGGGATACCAGATTGAAGGCTTTTTTGAAGTCAAGATGTATGACATCAATCTCTTTCCCCCTAGTCCAGGTGATAGATCACCTGGTCATGAAAGGAAATGAGATTGGTCAAGAAAGACCTACCCGCAACAAACCCGTGCTGGGTATCTCTCAGGATATTGCTGTCACCTACTCTGTTAAGGATGGCCTCTTTGATAATCTTTTTCCAAGACCTTCCCCAGGATAGAGGTCAGGCTGATGGGCCTGTAGTTTGTTGCATCTACTTTCCACCCTTTCTTGAAGATAGGCACCACATTGGCCGTCTTCCAATCTTCAGGCACTTCCCAGAGCACGAGGACTTCTCAAAGATCTGTGCCAGGGGCTGAGCTATGATGCTTGCCAGCTCCTTGAGTACTCCTGGGTGTAAACTGTCAGGGCCAGCTGACTTGAAGGTGTCCAGCCTCTCAAGGTGTTCCTTCACAAGGTCAGCTTTGATGGAAGGTAAGGAATCTCCCTTACCTGGGCCTCCCTGACCCACAGTGGGCAGGGGTGTCCCATGGGACTGGTGAAAAACTGATGCAAAGTATCCATTTAGCAAGTTTGCTTTTTCATGGACATCAGTTGTTAGTTGTCCCATCTGGGGTAGCAGGGGTCCAATGTTGCCCTTGCTTTTCCTCTGGCTCCCCACATATCTGAAAAAGGACTTTTTATTGTCCTTGATATTTGTAGCTAGCTGGAGTTCCATCGCAGCCTTGGCTTGCCCTATTTGCTCTCTGCAGGTCTGGACCAGATCAGAGTATTCCTTCTTGGTGGTGGATCCTGTCCTCCATCCTTCATAGGTCTTCCTTTTAAGACACAGGAGGCTCACTAGTTCCCTGGAGAGCCAAGAGGGCTGCTGTGCCCTTTTGCTGCCTTTCCTCTGAGATGGGATGGGCTTTGCTTGCACATCCAGGATTGCTCCCTTGAGGAGAAACCACTTGTCCTGAACTCCCCTCCCCTTTGGGTTGTGGGCCTCAAGGACCTCACTGACAAGCCTCCTGAGCTTGTCAAAGTCAGTTTTCTTGAAGTCAAGGACTTCTGTATTACTGACTGACTTGCCAGCTTTACAGTGGATGGTGAAGGTGATCAGCTTCCCTTCAATGATTAGGTCACTGATTAGGTTGTCTCCAGTTGCCAGTACCAGGTCGAGCAGTGCTTTACCTCTCATCAGCCTATAGACTTCCTGTGTCAGGTGGAGGTCATCCACGCACGAGAGCTTTGCGACCGCTCGGATTTGGCTGAATGCTCCTCCCATGAGATGTCTGGGTAGTTAGTCTCCCATGACAACCATACACCAGGTGCATGCAGCCTCAGCCAATTCCCTGGCAAACTCCTGGTCAAGGTCTTGACCCTGGGTAGGGGGTCTGTAGTAGACTCCCACCATAATATCCCCTGCGCTGTGTTCCCCATGGATTTTAACCCAGAGAGTCTCAAGTCATCCATTGTGGGTGCAGGGATGTTGGCTTGCAGGGATGCGTAGCTTTCCTTGACATGGAGAGCTACACCTCCGCCCCTTCTGTCCACTTGATCCCTCCTGTACAGGGTATAGCTGTTTATACCTGTGGTCCAGTCATGGGTGGAGTCCCACCAGGTCTCTGTTATCTCTGTGACATCATAGCTATTTGTGTTTAGCAGGAGGACAAGCTCCTGGCATTTGGGGACACTTGCATGCCTATACACTTGGAGGCCCTTGCCTTGCCTTGCCTTGCCTTGCCTACGGTTGATTCCAGGGCTGGGGCAGGGGTGGGTTCCCTTAAGTGCCTTGGCTTGCTGGCTTTGCATGGGTTGCTCAGTGGTCCAGTAGTGGTGGTAGTCCCCTGTCCCCCAGCGGGCTTAGTTTAAAGCCCGGTGGAGCAGGTCAGCCAGTCTGGCTAAGAGCCTCCTCCCCAGCAGAGAGGTGGAGGCCGTCCCTTCCCAGCAGCTCACTCCTCTCACCAAAGAGTGGCAAATTAGCTGAGTTTTGTGAAATTTACACAAGTGGAATATTTGGGGAGCTCTTTGAAGTAGTTTCTTTGCAATTGGCTGGTAAGAGTTTGGAGATACTAGTGAAGGAGGTGTCACAACACTGGTAGAGAGAGGTAGGTAATGCCAGGAAGAAAGCAGGATAGGGTGGCACCTTGGAGTCAACATTGTTAACATTGTAGTAGGTTAACATTGTGTCTTCTGTCCAGGGTGGGCAAGGGGAAGAGAATTCAGAGTTAAATCAGCCAGCCTAACTTCAATTCTTGGAAAGATACTAAAAAAATAATAAAAAATGGTGATTAAGTTATAGCCAGTGTGGATTTGTCAAGGACAAATCAATCTAATTTAATGCTGTGAGGATAACTGGTGTATGGGTAAGGAAGAAGCAAGAGGGGTGATATATTTTGACTTCAGTAAGGCTTTTGACACTGTCATTCTCTTAAACCAGTGTAGGAGAATACTGCACTTTCTTCAGGACTGTAGACTGATATGGAGTACTTAATGGCTTATCTCAAACTGGAAGGATGCGTTCTATGAGTTCTGCAGGATTCTATCCTGAGTCTTGTACTGTTCAGCATTTTTTTATTACCAATTTTGATGGATTAGAATAAGACAATTAAATCTGCAGACGATAAATTTGGGTAATTCTAATTTTGCCTGCTGAAATTATTGCAAATTAAAATCTTGATGAATTGGGGAAAAATGGTCTGAAATAAACAGGACTCAGTTGAATAAAGGCAAATGCAAAGCACTGCACTTAGCTAACAAGAATACACAGACGTGAAATGAAGAATTACTAGCTAGACATCTGCTCTGCAGAAGTATCTGGAGAGTACAGTGGATAATGAACTGAACAGCAGTTTCACATAGATGTAGAAGCAGGAGTGTGGGAATACACGTGTAATGATTTTTCTGCTGTACTCAACACTAGTAAGGCTTCAGCTGAAGCACTGTACTTCATGAAAGATGTGGACCAATTGAAGAGTGCAGGCAACAAAAATGATCAAAGCTCTAAAAAGCATAGCCTGTGAAGAAATATTGAAAAATTAGGCTTCTTTGGTTTAGTGAGAG